GGTCAGTCTTGGGCTCAGGAGTGGGAGGGGTGCCTGGAGTCACGCCTGCTGCCGTCACACCTTTGCCAGGGTTGCTGAGACAGCAGAGCCACGTTCCGTAGGGTCTTTGGCAGGCTGCGAGCACAGCGCCTTCTTGTTCTAGGGCAACAGTACCCTCAGCCTTAAAGATAAACATCCCAGAGATGGCAGCCAGCCGCTGGTTTTTTACAGCTAATGGTGATAGTACTTTTACTGTGTTCTGGGCACTATGCAGAATGCTTTACCTCTAGGATGTCATTTCACCCTCGCACCAGCCCTGCGAGAATTCCTAACTTTATTCACTGTCTACATGAGGAGCTGAACCCAGGATACAGGAATCACACAGCCAATAGGTCGGCAAGCCGGGATTTGAACCCAGGTAGCCTGACTCCAGAGCCTGTGCTCTTAGTCGCAGCCCAGCTTGAAGCTGACTTGTGGCAGGTGGCAGGAAGCCTGGGGACATGTGGGGCTCGGGAAGGGGGGTGGCTCAAGTTCCCATAACCTGGCTTCCCCACAGGGAACGGCATCGCTGCCTTTGAGTCTGTGCCCACCGCCATCTATTGCTTCCTGCGCTGCATGGAGCCCGACCCCGAGATCCCCTCTGCCTTCAACAGCCTCCAGAGGACTCTCATCTACTCCATCTCACTTGGTGGGGACACAGACACCATTGCCACCATGGCCGGGGCCATTGCTGGCGCCTACTATGGCATGGAACAGGTGCCAGAGAGCTGGCAGCAAAGCTGTGAGGGCTATGAGGAGACTGACGTCCTGGCCCAGAGCCTGCACCGGGTCTTCCAGAAGAATCTGTGAGGGCCACAGCACCGCCATACCCAGCAGGACCAACTACAGCTCGGATCGGAAACCCTGGGCTCCCTTAGGCTTGGCTCCCTGCCTCGGCCTTCCTGCAGTGTGGCCGGAATGCACCCTTGGGGCTGGGGACTCCTCTGGGGAGGTCACTGAACAGCGAGGGAGGGACGGGTGCCTTCTGGTGCTGGGTTCCTGGCTTCTGCAGAGCCTCGGTGCTCCTGGCTCCTCAGTCAGACATAAGGGACCAGGGCAGGTTTTGTTTTGGAGCAGTACTTGTGGTGTTTTCCTTTATTATCTAGGACATGGGATTTGGGGAGGTGGAAATGATCTGCGGCATCGTTTCTCCTTGTTGGGATTTAACCAGTTTGCCAGGATGCCTGCCTTTGACTGCACAGGGCCCCCAAGCGCCAAGTTTATATGGATCAGGAGGTGGACACGTGAATCTAGCTGATCTAGATGCACACCTGGCCCTTGGCTGTCATGGGTCTTGTTAACAGCTTCCCGACGAAGTTACAGAGCAATAAACAGTTCTTTAAATCCCACCACTGTTTCCTGTGTTTCTCCTCTGCCCTGAATGGATTCTTCCCCCGTCGCCCTTCTGTGCCTGTGCCTCTCTGTCTGGGCCTCACTCTCCTAGGAGCCAGGGACCCAAGCTGCTGGCTTGTGGAGGCATATTCCTCCAGCTGTTCAGCCACGAAAAGCAGAGCAGGCATGGTTTGGTGCTTTGTCCTGGTGGAGATCCCTCACAGCGGCCCAGGCAGCGGGCAGGAACAAGCCAGATTTTCCTGCTCTCAGAGCCTGGCTTCATAGGTTGCTCCCCAGATAGAACCCAGGCCCAGCCAGGAACCAGAACACTGTAGGAGGATGCGGAGCGGACCGTGTTATCACGGGACTGCTGACCTTTGTGTGAGGGGCCACATCACCTCAGGTGAAGGCCGGGCCTCATTCTGCATCTTGGGCCTCAGTCAAAGGCCTTGGCCTGCTGGGAAGTTCTGCACACCATCCATTCTGAAGAAAGGAAAATCGAAATGGAGGAGGCACCTCCCCTCAAACTTGAGGGATATTCCAGCCTCGGTGGAGAGAGACGCGTGCCCAGCTCTGCAGCTAGCCTGAGGTTTCAGGACTGTCGGACAGGCCTGCTTTCAGCCAACATGGGGATCTTCCAGGCTGGGGAAAACCACAGGATTTTTCAGAGCACAGGTTGGTCTCAGGTCTGCTGTCCAGATTCCCAGAGTACGGCAAGTTATGGGGCAGTGCTTTCTCCCAGGACAGCTCCCCTGGCCCTGCCTTCAGCGTTGGGCCTGGCACTAGCCCCGCCCACAGGAGCAAAGATTCCTGATTTCATTCATAATTTGTATCAGATGTTGAAACTTGACCCTTGGGATCCTGAGCCAGCTGTCATGCTCCACTACCCTTGAGAGCTTGCAGGAATGTTCCAGGGAAGCTTGATCTGTCTCCCCTAATTCCAGCCACTGCCTCACTTTGCTTTCTTAAAATGCCTCTTGGCATTTACTTGGTGCAGAGCCTCGGCAGCTTCAGAGAATCAAGCATTTCTGATGCGGTGGTGACAGAACCCCTGGCTGGGAGGAATGCACGCTCCTTGAGAGGGTGCAGGGTAAGAGCCCCAGAGAGCTCCCTGGGTGCTTTATGAAATCCAGAGGCTCGAGACACCTCTGAATCAATGTCAGTTTCAGCACAGTGCTGTTTATTCAACAGGCTTTATTGAGATTGTGTCAATACAGTCAATACCGTTGTTTTTCTTTTCAAAAAGAAGTCCCATTTTCTTTGATTCCCAAGTGCATTTTTCCCCGAATCTTCTGTGACACAGGGTACATAATAGGTATGTAGAGAACTAAGCTCCTATACCAGGTTAGAAATGAAATTACTAACGGAAAACATTTAAACCTTAATCTTAAAAAAAAAAAGAAGGAATCAATATAAAAATGCACAAGGTAATGTAGTTTTCATTGTTAAAACCTGACATAGTTTATCAAAGCTAGTCAGTTAAGTGGACACCTGGAAATCCCATAAATATTTCGGAAGCACCACCCACCTCTCCCCAAAGGCTTCAGGAATGTCATTTAGCAGAAACTCAGTTCTGTGAAACAGCATTTTTTTTTTTTTTTTTTGGCTCCCTGTACCCTCCTCAGGGCCCTGGGCTTCCACTAGGACCTGATGCATTTCCGCCCGACAGAAGCCTCCCTAACAGGTCAGATGGCAGTGGCTTTGATCCAGGAAGGAGGCTGAGCAGATGGCTCCACGAGGTACGATTTGAGACTTAGTACCCGTGGGTGCCGATGAATAAGAAACCCACCAGGAACCGTAGCCACAACCTGCTCTTGAAGTGCCACTTGGGCAGATTTGGGTTTTTGTCTCTCCTTTTGAAAGTTAAAGCAAGTAAACGGTCTGCTTTGTTTGGAGTTGTGGCCAGCCGATGGGCCTGAGGAGCCACAGAGTAGCAAGTCGGGAGTCAGTGGCATGAAGAACCCAGGGGCAGGACGGGAATAAAGACGCAGGCCTACTAGAGAATGGACTTGAGGACATGGGGGGGCGGGGAAGGGTAAGCTGGGATGAAGTGAGAGAGTGGCATGGACATATACACACTACCAAACGTAAAATAGATAGCTAGTGGGAAGCAGCCGCATAGCACAGGGAGATCAGCTCGGTGCTTTGTGACCACCTAGAGGGGTAGGATAGGGAGGGTGGGAGGGAGGGAGATGCAAGAGGGAGGAGCTATGGGGATACATGTATACGTATAGCTGATTCATTTTGTTATACAGCAGAAACTAACACACCATTGTAAAGCAATTATACTCCAATAAGATGTTAAAAAAAGAAGTCAGTGGCCAGTCTCCTTCCTCAACATGGGAAGGAAGGCTGGCATGGGCCAGAGCTGGAGCAGGTTCACGCTGGGTCCTCAGCTCTATCCACTCGGCTTGAACTAGGGGCTGAGGGCATGGCAGGGGGTCCTGCCTGTTTCCTGCAGGGTGGAGCTCTGATTGGGGAAAATGGCAGAAACATCCAACTCATTCCAAAGGGGCCTGTTGGCACCCTTTTTCTCAGGGCCTCATCCTCCTGGGCCCTAATCCTGCCTAGGACAGGAAATTGGAACCAGAGGGTGAAGGAGAGGAAGCCCCAGCAGACTAACCCCTGTAGTCGACACACACCCATCATATGGCTGTTAAGAAAAAGCGGGCGGTGGCCTTCATCCCCAAGCTTGCGTGCACCTTGTTCTGAGGGCAAACAAGAAGCTCTCTGCCTTGGGGATACTGGGGTTGGGGGTGGCAAGGATCCCTTACAATTTTGTCTGAGGAAATCAGCCCTCCCGCAGCAGGTGAAAGGAGAGAAAGGGAGGAATACTCATGTTTGCTGACTGCCCATCCTGCCTCGTGCCCGCCTGTGGTGGTCCCTAGGGGCCTGGGTGGCTGGCCTCATGAGGAACAGAGCCAGAGCTGGTGGGGGCAGCCTGGGGGATGGAGACGAACGTGAAGAGCTGCCATCCTGCCTCAGACCCATGCCCCTACCCCTCACAAACCACCGTTCCCCATGGCTGCAGCCTGAGCAGTGAAGGGGGGTCGGCACTTCCTGGGAGCCTGAAGGAGGGGCCACACGCCTGTACCTGCCAGGGACAGGCCTGATGCCACCGCCCCACTGCTAGGGTGGCAGTCCTGACAGGGTGTCCACTGGCCACCTCGATGGTCCCCCTCCTCTCCCTTCCCCCGGAGAGAAACAAAAACTCTTCAGGGGACCCACCGTCTTATGCTGGAGGTCCCGCGCGGGGGCAGCCGGAAGAGCCCCAGCCAAGAACTGAGGGAGGCCCTGCCCCATTCCTTGAGCAGGGGCTGTCTGCGGGCAGGCAGGAAGGGCAGGGCTGGGAAGATGTCTCCCCGGGGGAATGGGTGGGGGAATTCGGTCCCCTCTCAGCTCTGACTCCTTCGCCGCCCATCAGAGCCCAGCACTCACGGGGGCCAGGGGTCTCCACCAGCTGGGCAGAGCGTCCTGGGGCCCTGCCTGCAGGCCAGGCAGGGCAGGAGAGGGGGCACAACCCCGACGCTGCACAGACACTCGGGGGAGAGGAACGCAGGCCACCTTCTTCCAGAAACAACCTCAGCCTGCACGGAGGGAGAAACCCAGTCAGTCTCCTCGGGCCAAGGCCGCGGCCGCCTCTGCTCCCGCCTCTGTTTGGCCTTTGGTTTTTTCTTTAAATGGAGGTTCTTTGTAAGTGAGAAGGTCTCTCTACCGCTAAAGAGGAGGAGGCCAGGGCAGCATGGGTTATGTGGGGCACAGCAAGAATCCTGAAAAGGAGGAGTGGATGTACTCGGTGGAGTAGAGGCCATTGGCCTGGTCCGAGGGCATCTGCACCCAGACCTGGTCGTTGGGCCGCAGCTGGAGCACGGCCCCCCCAGACGCCTGGTCCAGGTAGCCCTTCTTGTACTCGTCATAGGTGTAGGTGGCTGGCACGTTGTTCTTGTACAGGGCCACCCACACGTTGGTGCCCTTGACGTGCACATGGTAAGCAAAGTAGTAGACCCCGCCCACGGGGCAGGTGAAGATGCCGGTGGCCGGGTTGTAGCCACTGTGGCCATTGTAGAGGGTCCGGTCAAACTTCACAGGCATGCCTGAGGCGGGGAAGGGCGAGGTGAGCACAGCGGTGAAGGCGGGCGTGGCATGGACCGACAGCTCGCCCAGCCCAAACCGGGGCTTGGTCCCCTTGCCCAGCACAGCTCCCTGCACGCCGCCATTGGGCAGGTGCAGGCCAGCGATGCCAGTCTCATCGAAGGCCCCAGGTGCACCAGGGGGCCCGGGAGGTCCGGGAGGCCCAGGAGGGCCCGTGAGTCCTGGGGAACCTGGGACCCCAGGAGGCCCTGTAGGCCCAGCCATGCCAGGTTCTCCCACATTCCCCTCTCCAGGGGCCCCCGGCAGGCCTGGTTCACCCTTCAGGCCTGGTAGACCCTGCGGCCCGATAGGGCCAGCCGGACCTTGGAGTCCTGGGATTCCAGAAGGGCCTCTCAGGCCAGGCTGCCCAGGGAGCCCCAAGTCACCCTTCTGCCCCAGGGCTCCTGCCACCCCTGGTCCTCCAGGGCGGCCCGTGAAACCTGGCTCGCCTTTGGGCCCAGTCGGTCCAGGAGGTCCATGAGCCCCTGGAAGCCCCCTCTCTCCTGGGATCCCAGGTTTCCCAGCCAGGCCACTAGGCCCCTGGTCACCCCGAATGCCAGGCACTCCTGGGGGTCCTCCAGGCCCCGTCTCCCCCTTAGGCCCCGGGGGCCCACGTCGGCCAGGTAGCCCTGCAGACCCCGGAAGTCCAGGGGGGCCCCCAAGGCCCTGTGGTCCCTGTTCCCCCGGCTCCCCATCCTCACCTGGCTCGCCCCTGTCCCCCAAGAGCCCCGGGACCCCAGCTGGGCCCCTGTCCCCCTTGGGACCTGGCAGCCCTGGTATCCCATAGCCAGTGGGGCCTATCAGGCCAGGAGGGCCCCGGGTGCCTGGCTCCCCTTTGGCCCCTGGTGGGCCCTGTGGCCCTGGCACCCCTGCTGACCCTGGTACCCCCATACCATCCAGCCCAGGGGGCCCTTTGGGGCCCAAAGCTCCTGGCTCCCCCCTGGGTCCTGGCAGCCCAGGAGGCCCAGACTCACCCTTATCTCCAGGGGCCCCAGGAAACCCATCCAAACCTGGTTTGCCCAAGCCAGCTGGACCAGGGAGACCAGGGGGTCCGGGGGCACCCCCCTGGCCTGGGGCTCCAGGAAGCCCTGGTTGGCCCACTCCATTTTCGCCCTTGAGGCCTCGATCACCCGGGGGCCCAGGCTCTCCCTGGGGCCCTGGCTCCCCCCCAAATCCTGGGGGCCCTGGCACCCCCTGGGGACCTGGTTTTCCAGGGACAGCAATGCCTGAGGGCCCAGGTAGGCCAGGGGGCCCTGGGGGCCCCCGGAGGCCCTGGTCCCCTCGTATCCCTGGCTCCCCCCGAAGCCCCGGCTGCCCTGGTGGGCCAACCTTGCCTGGAAGCCCTGGGGGACCAGCCTTGCCCATCCGGGAGAAGCCAGGGGGGCCAGCGGGTCCAGGCTGCCCATGTAGCCCTGGTTTTCCAGTGCCTGGTTTTCCTGGGAAGCCAGGAGGGCCAGGGGGACCCCGCGGTCCGGGTTTTCCTGGGGGACCAGGCTCTCCTTTCAGGTCCATTGGCAACAGCGGTAGAGGCATTTCTGAGAGAGAAAGAGAGAGAAGGGGTAAGTCAGGGGCCTGGACAGTGGGAACAGGGGACCCATCTTCCCACTCCCCATACCAGCATGTGGTGCAACTTGAGAAGACAGGGTTCTGTATCTGTTCATGAAGACCAGTCCCGGTCTCCCCCTCCCTGCTCTCATGGAAGATGGAATTTAGGTGGTTCAGTGGCCACCTTGGGAACTGCAGGGTATCCACACCCAGGGCTCTTAGCACCCAACCCACCCAGACTAGGCCTTCCCTAAGAGCTTCTCATCCCTGCCTGACCGGGGTGGAGTGGCCACCAGGTGGCACCAGCATCCCTCCTTAGAGCCAATCTGAGCCGCCCCGCCTCCCCACTTCCCCACAAACCTTCCCGCCCCACCCTCTACCTAAAGACCATCTCCGCCAGCCAGCGGCACCCCACTTCCCCACCCCACTTCTGCACCCGCCCCGGACCAGCATCAGGAAGAAAGTGGAGATGGGAAAGTCTTTGGTGGGGATTGAGGGGCTGTGGCCGGAGGCGGGGGCGCCTGGGAAGAGCTGGTGGAGGTCGGGAGGCAGGGAGTTGGGGGTCAGGACTGTCCGGGGCGGGGCGGGGCGGGGCGGGGAGGTGCTCACCCAGGTATTGGCCCTTGCCCTCGCGGAAGGGCGGCCCCACGGGTCCTTTGTGCATGGGCTGCACGTACTGCACCGGCGGGTAGCCCGCTGCCCCGGCGGCTCCACCGCTGGCGGCCGCCCTCAGCCCGCACCCCAGCACCAGCAGCAGCAGCAGCAGAGGTGGCGGCAGCGAAGACAGGGACGTCAGAGCCCCCCACATGGCGTCCTTAGGCTTGCTGCAGGGAGGAACGAGAGGGGCCATCAAGCCAGCCCATGGGTACTTTGGCACCGGGCCCAGGGACTCACAAAAAGATCAGGATTTAGATATTATTCACAAGCAATTCTCAAAGTCTTAGAGTCTGCAGAAGTTACTAAGCCTCTCCTAATCCTGCCCATAGCTCTCTATCACCGCCCCCCCAAGTCTACCGAGGACCCCTCCCTGGACAGTAGCCTCCCCCTAACCGTTCACGTGGCGGCCAGATGCCCTTCCAGAGCATCTCTAACCTTGGCACAGCTCTGCCAGAAACTGTTGGGTGATTACACCCACTACCATGTGCCGGGCTGGCTCTCTGCAGCCAGGGGCTAAGCTCTCTAGAGATGGAAGCTCACTTAATCCTCCTAACACTTTAACGAGGTATTGTTATTGTCATCCCCATTTTCCAGATGACAAAACTAACGCAGAGGTCTCTAGGAAGCAGACTGGGATTTTTTTATTTTTATGTTTTGGTTGCACTGGGGCTTAGTTGTAGCAGGCAGGCTTCTTATTTGTGGCATGAGAACTCTTAGTTGCGGCATGCATGTGGGATCTAGTTCCCTGACCAGGGATCGAACCCAGGCCCCTGCATCGGGAGCATGGATTCTTTTTTTTTTTTTAACATATAAATTCATTCATTTGTTTATTTATTTTTGGCTGCGTTGGGTCTTCGTTGCTGCGCGCAGGCTTTTCTCTAGTTGCGGTGAGAGGGGGCTACTCTTCGTTGTGGTGCGCCGAGCACGGGCTCTAGGCACGGGGGCTTCAGTAGTTGTGGCTCATGGGCTCTAGAGCGCAGCCTCAGTAGTTGTGGCGTACGGGCTTAGTTGCTCCTTGGCATGTGGGATCTCCTGGACCAGGGCTCAAACCCATGTCCCCTGCACTGGCAGGCGGATTCTCAGCCACTGCGCCACCAGAGAAGCCCTGGGAGCGTGGAATCTTAACCACTGTGACACCAGGGAAGTCCCAGAACTGGGATTTGACTAAGGTCTCTCTGACCTCACATTATGTCGATGCCCTTCTGGGGCTCCCCACTGCCTTCAGGATCAAGTCCTTTGTGGGACTTCCCTGGCGGTCCAGTGGTTAGGACTCCGTGCTCTCACGCCAGGGGCCCAGGTTCAGTCCCTGGTCGGGGAACTAAAATCCCGCAAGCCGTGTGGCCAAAAATCAATTGATTTAAAAAAAAAAAAAAAAGGGCTTCCCTCGTGGCACAGTGGTTAAGAATCTGCCTGCCAGTGCAGGGGACACGGGTTCGAGCCCTGGTCCGGGAGACCCCACATGCAGTGGAGCAGCTAAGCCCATGCGCCACAGCTACTGAGCCTGCGCTCTAGAGCCCGTGTGCCAAAACTAGTGAAGCCTGCGCACCTGGAGCCTGTACTCTGCAACAAGAGAAGCCACCACAATGAGAAGCCCGCACACAGCAACAAAGAGAAGCCCCCGCTCGCCTCAACTAGAGAAAAGCCTGTGCGCAGCAACGAAGACCCAATGCAGACAAACATTAAGAAAAAGTCCTTGGTGCCCAGCATGGCGTTCAAGGCCTTTTAAATCTAATCACCTAGTGGGTGCCTGCCTATCACCTGCCACCCCTTTCTCTGCCTCTCCCCTCCCCCATACCTTTGCCCCAGGCACCAGGCAGCCTCACACTTCTGGGCCTTTGTACCTGCTATTTCTCTGCCTGCAGTGTTCTTCCTCTCTCCAACTTGTCCTTCAAGGCCCAGGGAAGCTGTCATCCCTTCCTCTATAGAGTTAACCCCTCACTCCTGTGTCCTGATCTAGCCCTGTCACAGCATTTAGCTCAGCTCTGAGAACAAGGCCTGGGTTGGGAAGAAGCACAGGCTCCAGCTTTGGATGGCCAGCCTGAGTCCTCCGCTCACCAGCTGGGGGAGCCTGGGCAAGAGGTTTCCACTCTGTGAACCTCAGTTTCCTCATCTGTAAAATGGAATAACACGTCCACACAAAAACGTGTACATGAATGTTCATGGTGACATTATTCGTAACAGTCACAAAGTAGAAACAACACAGACGTGCACCCACTGATGAACGGATAGTGTGGTATATCCATACGACGGACTATCATTCAGCAATAAAAAGAAGGGAGATACTGATAAATGCTACAATGCAGATGAATCTGGAAAACATTATGCCAGGTGAAGAAGCCAGTCACAAAATCATATTATCTAATTCTATCTGTATGTTCAGAATAGGTAAATCTATAGAGACAGAAAGTAGATAGATGAGTGGTTGCCTAGGGCTGGGGGGAGTGGAAATGGGGAGTGATTGCTAATGGGCACAGGGCTTCTATTAGGGGTGATGAAAATGTTCTAAATTGCTTGCTGTGATGGCTGCACAATTCCGTGAATACCTTAAAAAAAACATTGATTCGTACACTTTAATGAACCAATTGTATGCTATGTGAATTGTATCTCAATAAAGTTCTTTTTAGAAAAAGCTAGGCTAGGGAATCTCCTAGTGGTCCGGTGGTTAGGACTCTGCACTGCCACTGCTGGGGGCCCGGGTTCGGTCTCTGGTCGTGGCCAAAAATATAAAATAAAACAAATTAAAAAAAAAATTTTTTTTTAAAGCTAGGCTAACCACCTGCTTCTCAAGGCTGCTGTGATGATTAGAGATATCCCAGTGCCTCACGGCAAGCACCCACCAACACCTGCACAGTGGACTAGCCTGGCATTTCACACGCCCCAGGGAAGTCTCACTTGCCCTGGCATCCCTGCTCCGGGCTCCCCTCACCCCACCCAGGGGCCTCTCCACACCTGCGCCTGGCCGCAGGAGGGAGTGCGGGTGCGTTGTGCACACCCAGGGGTGCACGTGGGGCTGAGTCTGGAGCTGCAGTGCAGTGTTCCTCCAAACTCATATCACTCAGGGCTTTGCAGGAATGAACGCGGGGCTCCGGAGAAGGTCGGTGAAGCTGCCAACCCAGCTCTGCCATCAACCTCTCTGTAACCCTGGGCAGGTCGTTCAGCCTCCCTCAGCCCCAGCATAATAGTAACACCTGCCACCTAAGGGCTCCCCATGCGCCAGGCGGGGCTTCACCAGCTTCACATCACTAACCCTCTTAATGACCCCCCACCAGCTCCTACAATTATAATCCCCTATTTTATAGACGTAGAAACAGAAGCTTAGACTTGGAATCTTGCCCAGAACACCTTCCCTCAACACAGGCCACCTGCTCTATCTGCACCATGATTGGTGCTGGGCCTCGTGAGGCCACAGGGTGTAGGCCTGGCACTCAGCTACTGCCGGTGGAAGCTCTGGCCATGCACTGCCCTAACGTTTGTTTGACATTCCATCCCCGTGCAGCCCCGCGGGGCTCGTCGGCCCTGTTTTACAGATGAGGAAACCGAGGTGCTGTCAGAGCCTAAACCCGGGCAGTCTGACTCTTGAGCCCCAATCTCTAACCACCACACCACGCGTCCTCTCCGGAGAGGGGTAAGGGCCCTCCCGCACTTGCCACCCGAGCTGGGGGGGCTGTTAGGATGGAGGTGGTGCTCACACATCACAGAGCCAGAATGTTCTGCCTGGTAGGGGGCAGAGGGTTGGGGGAGCACGTGGAGGGGCAGAGCTTGCAGCAGGAAGCAGGGGGAGGGGAGGGAGCAGTTCTGGCCTGGGTGGGCCAGAGGCCAAGGTCATGGCACCACCACAGGAGGACTCAAGAGAGCCCTGGCTCTGGGGAGCCCTGGTCCCCTTCCCATGCTGAGTTGAGGCCTCACTAGGCGTGGGGGGTGATGGAGGGTGCAGGCAGCCTCAGGCTCAGCTGGGAGGGTGTCTGGGGTGGGGAGAACTGTGGAGGAGCACAGGCAGGCCGGGCGCCAGAGGAAGAGCCCCCAGTCCACTCAGGAGCCCGGGCAGGGGCAGGGCCCCCTGCCAGCTGCCCACTTTTCTTTCCTCCTTGGCAAGGTGGATCTCCCGGAAGCATCCCCACCCTACACCCTGTGGCTCCCTGAACTTGCCCCATCCCAGCACCGCCAGCATCGTGGAGGTGGGGCAGATCTGCTGCAGGACCCCAGAGCAGGTGTTTCCTCTGGAGGGAGGGGTGTCTGAGTGAGGATGACAGCTCACACCTCTGGCTGGGCACCGCCCAAGTGCTGCATGTTCGGCATTCGATTTAACTCCCACAAGGTCCCTGGGAAAAAGGAACTATTTCCTCTTTCTATAGGTGAGGAGTCTGAGGCTGGGACAAGGCCAGTGATGTGCCCACTGGCTACAGCTAGCAGCCAGGATCTGAGCGGAGGTCTGTTAAGAACCTGAGCTCTTAACCGCTGGGGCAGACTGCCATGGGGGAGGGTGTGGGGGAGAGTGCGCCAGAGAGCACAAGCTAGACAGAGAGAGAAGCAAACTGAGAGAGAGAGTCTCTCTTCCAGCTCCAAGCTGCCTGTGGGTTTGAGGAGGGAAAACTTACTCTAGCTCTTAGAGGGGAGGTGGCTATGCCACTCCAGGTGGGGGGCTTGGCCAGAGAAGGGGCTGAGAATTGATGGCCCTGGAATGGTGCGACGTGGCAGCCCAGGTGGGAAGGACTGCCCCCCAACGCCAGCCACCATCAGAGCCGAGGGTGCCTGGGCGCCCCTGAGCCCCTGCTCACTGCCACCCCCCCCCCCCCCCCGCCACTGCAGGCTCCGCAGGCTCTCTGGCCTCTGTACGTTCATTTCACCCTACTGCTTCTCCACCTCCTAACTCTTCCTCATTCTTGGACATCCTGGACCCCTACTGGATGCCTTCCCCGGGCTCCTCTGACACCTGCAGGTCTCCCTCACAGCTCTTGTTTCCCTCTTTGGCTCTTCTGCTCTCTCCCCGCCACATTCCCCCGACTCCATGCCCAGCACAGGACTTGGATGGCACACAGAGATGCTCCATAAATGTTTGATGAGCTCAGTTTGCTGTCAGATTTAATGATCACACCAATAACTCACTCCAGGAAGCATCCAGGACTTTGCACAGATACATGTCACACGGCCCTGGGAGCCCCCTCCCTAGGCCAGATGGGCTTATCGGTTGGCTAGAATGGGAACAGGTGGGACATTCCCGTGGCCTCAATCAAGGATCTTCAGCTAAGAACTGTCTGCGCAGGGAATAGAGGCACACAGGGAGGAACAGCTGTGATCCATTTGCTTCCTCCTGGTCTCCCCGTGAGGAATGGCGGCCAAGCAGGGGTGTCAGGGGCTGGCGGAGGGCCCTAAGGCTCAAGCCTGGCTCTGCTGTGTGACCTTGGGCAGTCCATCACCCTCTCTGGTGACCTCTTAGGAAGGAAGGCAGGAGCCAGGGCAGCTGGGAAGGGGCTGGGCTGGCAGGGGCAGGAGATGGGATGCAAAAGGAGACGGTAATTCAAGGGATGGAGCGGTGGCGGCAGCAGGGTAGACGCGGTGTTTGGACAGCTGCAAGTCCTTAGCGGGGATTTCCCCCCTTTTCAACAAATCCCCGTAAAACAGCATTTTGTCCAAGTCAGCGTTTTGTGGCAGCCTGGGCCTCCTCCAGGGGCGGCCGAGGAGGTTGGCTGGGAGCGGGTAGCGCTCCAGGGTCTTTCAGACCAATTGAGAGGGGAGGGGAATGGACCCCAGCAGGAAGAAGAAGTGCATGAATACAGACCCCTCTCTCCCTGGACAGGGCTTTGGGAGGGGAAGGGGCATCAGCAGCAGTGACCCCTCCCCACCAGTCCCCTCTCAAAGGGTCCTGTCCCAGGGGGCGGCCAGCAGAGGGGGCCCAGGTGATCCCATGGAATTTAAGGGCCTGCCCACTCCCCATCCCATTTTACACGTGAGCTATCAGAGGTCCAGATAAAAAGGGGAGCCTGAGGGTGGGGCGCAGGCTCCCGACAGACCGTGCAGGGGTGTGGCTAGCGTGGCCCTGGCAGCACCCCCACCTCACCCCACCCCACCCCCGGTGGGTGGATGGAACGCGGCTCTGTGCAGGCTCCCGCTGCTCCAAGCCCCCAACCCCAGAAGGGCGGCTGCAGCTGAGGCAGCCCGGGGCCTGGCCAAACCACAGGTATGTTATGAGACGCTTCCTGTTGTGGAGACATTTCTGCGGGATCGGCTGCCCCACTTGCTCCCCCGGTGCCTCCTGCCTCCCCACTCGTCCAGCCTCACTCTATTCTGTCCCTGGGTCTCTGGCCCTGACTCATTTCTCTCTGTCTCTCTCTCTCTCTCTCCAACCCGGTCACGGCCACTTCAACAGGTGAGCAGCATTTCTTGCTCAGGCTCTCCCTATCAGGGATCCAGCCCTGGGGGGCCCTAAGGCCCTCTAGGTCCTGGCAGCCCCTGAACTCCCATTTCAGCAAAGCTGCCTACCGGCTGGGTGATCTTGGGCAAGTGACTTAACCTCTCTGAACCTCGGTGTCCTCATCTGTGAAAGGGTTAACTGAGATGGTCTAAGCCATCAGCCCCTCCATGCTGCCTTGTCCTGTTACCCCGGTGGCCAGAAAGTCCTCCCTTCAGTCTAACCTCAGTTCCTCCTGCTGCAAAGCAACATCTCCTCCAACCCTTGAAAACCTCAGGTGACTTGCTGCCAAAGGCCAGCACCTTGTGAATTTCCCTAAAGTCAAATTTCTGGCCTGCTAGGCCTTTTCCCTAACCACCCCTGAGATGACACCGAGCAGGGGTCATACAGCCTGCTCAGGACAAGGATGGAGTTATGGATCTTGGAGAGCAGAGGAACTGCCCTCCTCCCTCACTGGGCATGATGCCCACCCCCACTGCTGAGCAGGGTGGCTCCAGACTTCTCCAGGGTTCCTGAGCCTCCCAGCTCCCCCACCTCTCTCCCGGCTTGCAGAGATCAGAGAGCCCTTCCCCGTCCCCCTCTCCTGAGTCTCAGAGGAAGGGGGTCCTGTCTCCCACTCAAGGCCCCGGGCCCCTCCACATGTCTTCCTCTTCCTCGGGGACCTCTCACTCTGTGGATGCCTCCCCCAGTCTCCAGCCTCTCCATCCCACATCTACACAGGCCTCACCCCCGCCCCTGGCCACCCTCATCTCTTTCCAGCCCTTCTCAGCCAAGCTTCTCAAAAGAACTGTCTCTACCCCTCACCCTCTCACCTCGCGTTTCCTTCTCTCCAGCACTGACTCCCACCTTGTGACCCTGCTTTCCTCCTTCCTGGAAAGGTTCTTCCTCAGATTCTTCTCTGCTCCTTCCCTCTGCCCACTCTGCAGACCCAGGCTTGCCCCAAGGAGCTGGCTCAGGCCTCTTCTCTTCTCTCTGGATGTTTCTCCTGCAGTTTCCAGCTCTCCCCAGCTCCCACAGTTCCAATCCCATCACCAAGGACTCCCACATCTGTTTCCAGCTACCTCTCTCCTGAGCCCCAGACTCCTGGGTTTGACTATGAGCTGAGCATTTTCGCCTGGCTGTCCCTCATACACCTCCACCCAAACTGCTGTCACTACCTTCTCCCCTAGTACTTGCTTCTCCCCCACTTCCTGTTGCCCAGGCCAGAAATCTGGACGTCACTTCTGACGCTTCTGACCCTTCCTTCCTTACAGGGAATCTCTCTAGCCTATACCATGCCTTAGCGCAATTAGAAAAGGCTACCCCTCCTTCCAGCCAACTCAGGCCTTACTCATTGCCTTTCCCGAGTGCCCTTGAACAGTAACCAACCTGCACAACTGTACATGACAGCCCTGTTCCTTTACCCTCAAACCCCCAATCCAGTCTTATGGACTCTGTCTTCTCTACTTCTGGGTACGTGACATGCCCACCTGTATCCCTTCCTCTGTGTCTCTGTGTCGCTGAATCCAGATCCTCACCTGCCTGTGTATCTGAGGCATCTCCTGGTGTGTCTCTCTCCTCCTATCTCTGTGTCGCCATCCCATTTGTCTACCCACCTCTGTGACCCTGTCTTTCTCTGTTGTCCTTCTCCGTCCTCTCTTGTTCCTTGTACCTAGATCCTGTCAGAGTTCCAGGTTCTGAAATCTCTAGCTGTTGGTCACTTGATGGGAGCCTCTAGAAGGCCAGCACTTACGGCTTTAATGTTAACGTCAGGTCTGGGGCTGACCACCGTGGACGATCCACGAGCAGCCCCACAAGGTCTGGGTGGAGACTTGCGGGGCCCAGAGCCCATGAGCTGAGCTCACTGTCCTACAGGCCACTGGGACTCTGAACCCCTCAAATTTAAATGTGCAGGCGTGAGGACTGCTCCAAAGCCAAAGGGCTGCCTGGAACCTGGGAGCTGGCGAGGTGGGGGGAGGTGATCAGGCTGGGACAAGGCTGCCTGGAGGACACCTTATCATCCAGGTTGATGGCAGGACAGGAGTGCTGCCCTCTTCACACCTTGTCTACCCAACCAGGCTTCAAGAGTCCTAACATCCCTCACCTCTGCAGGTGAGGCTCCCAGACCACAGGGGACCTCCATTTGCAAAGCAGCATCGGAAGGAGGTTTGAAGGACAGAGGAGAGTTCAACATACTCATAGGCGCAAGTGATGGTGGAATATTCCAAACTGAGAGCAGAGCAAAAATCTCGTCAAGGAAGACTGAGGGGCTTCTGGGCTGGGCAGTATCTAAGAGGCAGAGAACCTGTGGTTCTGAAACTTGAGAGCGAGAGAGATTGCCTGGAGATAAAAATAGGGCTTCATCGGCAGGGTTGTTGCAGCCTGGGTGAGGGCCATGGACTCACCCTTAGGGAAATCACCCATGTTCAGGGAGTGAGAGGAGCCCACTGTGCCCTAAGCCCCAGCGTCCTGAATCCAGACAACCCAAGCTTTTCGATGTTTCCCTGTACCCACCTGCCTGCATTTGCCTGAATTGCTCTTTCTTTCTCCTCCAGGCAAACGTGTTATTCCTCATTTAAGACCCAGCTCAAATGCCGCCTCCTCCAAGCAGCACTCCGTGCCTCTCTCAGGCAGAACAGCTCCTCCTCCAGGGCATGTCTTCCCCCAGCCCCACCCCATCCCCAGCTGGGGCTCAGCACACTGGCACTCAGAACAGTCTGCAGCCTGTGTGCTCCAGCTCCTGGCCTCTGACAACGCCACCTCCCACCTCCAGACAAGCCTGCAAGATGGCTTCTCATAGGGTCCCTTTTTCTTTGTGGCTCTTCCAGGGTCCTTCTCAGCTCTGGGCTGGAGGGGGCTTGCGGTGAACCTCCCTCCCTGCAGGTAACTAGGTTTACCTCCCAGACCCCCAGCCGCTGCCCATCTCTGAGGCTAGCCACCCCACTACCACCCTGGGTAGGAGCTTCTTGCGGGGCAACAAAGCATCCAGGGAGGTAGGGACAGCCAGGCGGGGGGAGATGAACCAGAAGAGGCCCAGCAGTGGACAGGACCCAGGGCAACAATGTATCCTCAGGCAGGTGGCCAGGAGACCGGCCCTTCCTCGCCGGGGGCTCAGGCCTCAGCTGGTGCCATTGCTCATTTCCCAGAAGAGGCCTTGAGCTTCTGATCGAGACCGGACACGGGTGGGCCACCAGACCCAGGCACCCCCAGGCTCCAGGCCGAGCCAGGCGGGGCCTTCTCAGCCGCCAGTCCCCCGCCTTCTGTTTCGCATTTGCAGCCTTTTCCGGAGCGCCACCCGCCGCCCGCTGCCTCCCGACGCCTGCCAAGATTCCTGGGCCTTCGCGGCTTCCCCGCGCGGTGGCGGCAGCTTCGGCATCGGCGGGAGGGGCTGAGCTGGGCAGGGAGCGGGCCCGGCGGGAGCGCGGCCAGGCCACTGCACCCGGGCAGGCCAAGCAAACACGGCCACGCCAAGGAGCCGGGCGAAATAGTTCACAAATGAGAAAAAGCCGCTTCCAAGTTGGGCCGGAGAGAGCTGAGGTCACCTGCCCGCTAGGCCACCCCAAGCCTGGGAGGGGCATCTGCTGCAGCTGGAGGGAGCAAGGGTAGATAGCAGCAAGCACAGGTCTCATCCAGCTGGGGATATCAGAGAGCCCTGCCCCCAAATCTAGCTTACCTTTCAGGTCGGAGGGGCCTCTGAAGGTGCCAGCAGAGACAAGGCCTGAGAATGAAAGAGGGAGACAGTGAGGAAGATGCCAGGAGCTGGCGAAGCCTCCTGCGCTAACTCAGCCACCCCAGCGCCTGCCATGGGTTTTTTACCAGGAGCCCCTGCTGGAACATTGGCCCCCAACCTCAGTCTCCTCTCAGGGAGCCAGGTCCCCCCCTCACCAACTCCATTCATTCCATGCACTTAGCAATGCCCATGGGGGACCTGGCCCTGGTTTGATGGAGTTCCTCCTGTCCTAGGGCCCAGGCTGAGGAAGCCCCTTCTGTGGGCCAGGGTCCATACCGGAGAAGTCCCTACACTCTGTCAGGCCCTAAGCTGGGGTGGCCCCTACTATAGACTAGGGTTCCTGCCTGGGGAAGCTCGTACTAGGTAGGGGACCTGAGGCTAGGCCTTGGGACAAAGAAATAGTTCAGCCCCATGCCCTGCCCTGAATTAGCTGGAGGCATCAGACACGTGGCCATCACACAATTGACTAAGGTCTCCAGGCCTTGGGAGTGCAGAGCAGGAAATATTGCCCTCCCTTGAGTTTCCCTGGAAGACTTCATGAAGGAAAGGACATTAAGGCTGGATCCTGAAGGATGAGTAGGAGTCTGACAGGCAGACACAGTAGGCAAAGGAATTTCAGGCAGTAGGAAGCTGCTTGGCAGATACAGGGACGGTCCAGAAGTGCTGTGGGGCTGAGACGACAAGCATGAGCTGAGAAGCCTCGGGCAATTTAGTGGGGAGCCTTAAATGCTATGCTTGTGTATCTCTGGAAGGCAATGGGGAGCCATGGAGGGTTGTTGAGCAGGGGGAGATGATGTGGTCGCAGCCCTCGATGGCCAGGTCCCCGGTTCTGGCTCAACCATGATGCCTGGCTATCATAAGCCCTAGTCCAGGTCACACAGCAGAGCCGGGGCCGTAGTCCAAGTCCAGATATGAATCCTGGGTGGATGGGGAGGGGACGCCTAGCCAGCCCACCTGGCAGGGAGGCCTGCCGGCTGCGTCACTCTCTCCCCCAGCTGCTTGCTTGCCTCTGCCCGCTCCCATGGAAACTCTGACATCCCAGCCCTCTCGCTGCACTAGCAGCCAGATGCCGAAGCCAGCGGCTCCTAAGCCTTCTCGCCAGCTCAGCTGAGCCCTGCCTCCGTCCACGCCCCTCTGACACCATAACCCCAGAGGTGGGTCATGAGGCTATTCTCTCTGAGGGCCCAGACTGGCTGATGGAGCTTGGGTGGGAGGTCCTCACTGGCCAACTTGACCCCAGCTTGTCTGGCCCCAGCCCACACCCTCACCATGAGGCTCAGGGAGGGGAAGTGACTTATGTTGGATCTGGGCTTTTGAAAGATGAACATGGATTTAACTGGGTGGTAGCGGGGAGAGGTGATCAGTCCAGGCTAAGGGAATACCATGTGTGAGGGTATGGAGATGTGAATGCCCTGAACATAATTAGAATAAATAAATGAACTAACTAATCATAGCTAACATTTATTGTATATCTACTATGTGCCAGGCACGGTTCTGGGCTCTTCTCATGAATTATCTCATTTAATCCTCATACCAACCCAGTGAAGTAGGTTCTTCGTCTTTCCTTTTTACATAGTGGGAAACCAAGGGACAGAGAGGTTAAGTAATTGGCCAAAGGTCACACAGCTCATGAGGGGTAGAGCCTAGGCTGTTGGTGCCAAAGCTTGGGCTCTTAACCTCTCCAAACACAGATGGTTTGAGATGAGAAGGCCCGGCTGGGGTCAGCCTGAGAAATGCCTTAAATATCAGAATCAAAGATCTCCAGCACAGGGACTTCCCTGGTGGTGCAGTGGTTAAGAATCGGCCTGCCAGTGCAGGGGACATGGGTTCAATCCCTGGTCCGGGAAGATCCCACATGCCGCAGAACAACTAAGCCCGTGCAACACAACTACTGAGCCTGCGCTCGCTCTACAGCCCGCGAGCCACAACTACTGAGCCCGCGTGGCACAGCTACTGAAGCCCATGCACCTACAGCCCATGCTCCGCAACAAAAGAAGCCACCGCAATGAGAAACCCGTGCACCACAACGAAAGTAGCCCCTGCTTGCTGCAACTAGAGAAAGCCCGCGCGCAGCAACAAAGACCCAACGCAGCCAAAAATAAAAATAAATTTAAAAAAAAAAGACCTCAAGCACAGCTTAAAGCTGGCTCCCCATCCCCTCCACCCATGTTAGCCCTTAATAATAATGGTCTCTAAAAATCCCAAGTACATTTTCTGCACCAGACATAGCACTAGGCATGCTCCAGGCATTATTTTTGATCATGCTTTCCCATAACTCTATAAGGCGGGAATTGCTGTCCCATTTTTCTGAGGAGGAGCATTGAGGCTCAGAGAGGTGACATCCATTCTCCAAGGTGACAGGAAGCACTGGGGCTGGGATCTGAACCTTGGGGCTTGCACAGCCCCTAAATGGCCAAACCCCTGTATACTTGGGCTTCCTGGAGACCGCAGCCACGGTTACTTCTCCCCACTTCTCCTCCACCCCCGCCTGTGCTGCCTCAACCCAGATGCCAGCACAGCTGGCGACAGAGTGAGCAGCTCCTATCACGGGCCTCAGGAGCCCACTCCAGTTGACCAAGGCTCCCGCGGTCCTACAAAATAGAAGGTGGGGTGGGTGAGTGTGCCAGGGCAGTGCCTGAGCCGACTTCAATGGGACTCTGTTCTTAACCTCCGCCCTCAGCTGCCTTTCCTAATCTCCTCCTGAGCCCCTCCCCTGGCGACATCTCCTCCTTGCACAGAGCCTGCCTCCAGCTAAATCCCAGGCCAGATGTGGGGGGGACAGTCTATACCCCCCTGGCCCCCACCAGCTTCGGCTAGCGCAGGTGCCCAAGGAGATTGGCCAGGACCCCAGGCCTGCTTCCCCTTCCCAACTTTCCAACCTGACATGCTGATGGCCATGAGGTGAACAGCTGGCTCCTCCCAGAGCGGGGCTCATGGGAGAAGTCTCCATTTTCTGAGCCCCTACCATGGGCTGGCCCTCGGCTAAGAGTCTTGCCTAATACATCATGACGGGTTAAGAACCACTCTGGAGCCCAGCTGCTCGCAGTCTTCTCCCAGCCCTGCCTCTTACCGGCAGTGACCTCAGCGTCCTGGTCAATACCACGGGAGCAATTCTTACTTCGCAGAGCGCTGGAGAGGATTAAACGCGTTAACTTCACGTAGCCGACTTCAAGCAGTGCTTGGCATAAAGAACATTCAATATATGTTTCCTATTATCATTATCATCACCATCACCGTGACGCCTCCCAAAAGCCCTGAGGTTAAATTATAAACCCTATTTTACAGATGAAGAAACAGAGGCTCAGAAAGAAGTCATTTGCCCAGGTTCACCAGCCAGCCAGCGGTGGACGATGTCAGTTTGGACTGAAGCTGAATGAGTTCCCAGATAATGAGGACAGCCTTGCAGCTCTCTGGAGCTGAGGCACAGAGAGAGAGAGAGAGAGAGAGAGAGAGAGAGAGAGAGAGAGAGAGAGAGAGTGTGTGTGTGTGTGTCTGTGTGTGTGTGTCTGTGTCTGTCGGGTTGGGAGGGGTCCTCCACTCACCCCTGTCCTGCCTGACCTCCAGGGGCTCCCCTGCCCAAGCCCCTGCTGCCGCTGCAGGAGGGGGCTCTGCATTCCTGGCTAAGCAGCCGGATTTGCTGTGCTCCAGGAACTATGAAAAGAATGTTTGCCACGAGCTGAGCCTTGGTTGCCTGTCAGAGGCGGCATGGCCTGGAGGGCCCACACAGAGCTATGTGGCAGCCAGGAGCCGCCACAGCGGGAGGGGAGGAGGCTAGACACAAGAGAGCTTCTGGTTAGTGAGTGCAGCGGATGCTGCATGGGGGTGGGGACCAGTCAACCTCCTGGGGTCTTCCAGGGGGGAGAAATGACCCACACACACAATCTACATTGGTCCTCCCCACAGGCTCCAAGGACAGCCAGGGAGGCATCACCGGCCCATATCATGGATGGGACTATGGAGATCCAGGGAAAGCTCACAGCCAGTGGCAGAATTGGGACCCGTGGCCAGGACCCCTTGCTCCCAGAGGTTGCCAACCCTCACGGGACCCACCGGGACCACAGCACATTCTGAGATACTAGAAAACACCATGCCAGCCCTCACTGTCCTGGCCCGCCTCCGGGCCTGACCTTCTCATGACTGCTACTCCCCATGTTTCCTGTCCCTCAAAAAAGTACCTTATGTATGAAAATTCCTGGCACACTGTGGACAGATGCTCAACTAAGTTTCCATTCCTTTCCCCGCCAAACCAAGCCCTGTAGAGGGCAGTGACCCGGGAGGTCGGCGGGAAGAACATGAGTTGTACATCCTCACAGACCTGGGAATGAATCCCAACTTGGCACTCAGCAAGGGGACGCTTGGCCAGTTTATGGGCCTCTCTGAGCCTCCACTTCTCCCTCTGTTAAATGGGCTACTGACCCTTGCCTTGCAGTAGTGTTACAAGGACTAAATGAGATAAGCAAACACAGGCCCTGATACACAGTAGGTGCCCAATAACCTCTTATTGTTACCCTCCCCCAGGGGGACAGAAATAATTGAAATTAGAGAACCTCAGATGACAAGGTTCCCTCCATCCCAGGTTCCTGATGGGCCCTGCTAGGGGAGGGCGGCCTCTGAGAGGAAGGGAAGCCTGAGCCCAGGGTCCTGTCCTCAGGGCTCAGTTCTGCCACTGGCTGCTATGTGACCTGAGGCAACTTCCTCTCTGAGTCTCCATAATCCCATCCAGGAGAGGAGCCAGCAGTGCTGGCATGGCCTCTCTCCAGGAGGCAGCAACCCTCTGCCACCCACTTCTTCTGCCCTCCAAGAGCCAGAAATCTCAGCCTGCATGGGGACAGTCACTTCTCAATTCAGAACTTTCCAAGAATCTGAATGGAAGCAGGGCCAGGCCCTCCCCGCCATTCCCTTCCCAGGATCCAACCAGAGAGGTGTAACAGACTCTGATCAGAAGTCTGGGTGAAAGTTCTTGG